AATTTTTCATTCTTCATAATAGACTTTAAGATTTATTTCCATTTTAATGAAATTTCTTTTCTCTTGCATTCTTTCATTTAAAAAATGAACATTCCTTAAATAAATGGAAAGACAATATAAAGCAAGGAATAAACGACAAGCAAAAATTTTTTATAATGGATTATTCATTAATCTTTTAATTATTCGAAGGAAGCCATCTTCGTGATTTCTCAACAAGAAAATTCACAGGTGACCAATGAGTGAAATTCCAGATCTTACTGGAATTTAAACGGCATACCCTCGAGAAATTTAATTGCCTCGAAGAATTTACGGTCGACAGAAGAAACTAAGGAGGAAAAAGGTCATCGTGAAATTAAGTGAGAAGTGACCGTTTAATGAGCGCGCCAATTATCTCCGTCTCGACTATTGGGACCACAGTAAAACGATAGAGGTGAACTTTTCTTGATGAATCTTCGTTCGACGTCTATTTGTTTAATGAAGTTCTTATAATTTGTCGAGAAGGAATGCGAAATATTCAAACCATTAATAAACGTACAAGACATTTTGTCGAAGAATTAAAAATAAATTAAGAATAAATCTATTTGAAAAAATTTGTTGAATTATATTTTAATTTTGTGATTTTCGATTAATAGATTAATTAATTAGTAGATTAATATCTTGATTTAGATTAAGTTAATGTTTTATTATATCCAATTTCTATATAATAATAGAAATTTAAAACGAAGAAATTCTTTCGTGAATTTATTTATAATTCTATTTTTATGAATGTAATTAAACATTATAATTAAACATATTTCTATGAAATAGAATTTAATTTTTATTCATCTTGCAAATATTTTTTTTTTCGAACGACAATCCAATCCATTTTTTTCTACAGTAAAATCTATAATAAAATATAATTTAAAAGATTTTATAAAAAAGTTAAATTAATTACTTAAAACAAATTCAAATTGTTTAATATTTATTGTTAATAGTTAATAAGATAAGTAATAGAAAGATAAGAAAATTAATTTGCGAACATTGAAATTAAAATTAAAGTACAAAATAAAGTGTTTAATCAGAAAGAGGAATAATAATAAATTCTATACATGTAATTTATTCTTACAAAAATTTAAATTTCAAAATAAAAAATTATATGTAATTTATATTTATAAAAATTTGAATTTCGAAGAAGAAGAAGAATTTAAAATTAAATAAAAAATAAAATAAAAAATAGTTTACTTTTAATTATTTTATCGAATTACATATTTCTTTTTTTTCGAACTACATTCGATTTTTTCATATAAAAATAAAAAAAACTCTTTCAGGAATAACTTATTAGGATTCTATACCTTTCTAAGCTATTCCAGATCCTTTCTAAACTAACTGATCGTTTGATAAGACATAATTTGAGCAGATTGCAAAAGGGAAAACAGAAATTTCGAGAAGTATCAAATTCTATTTACAAACTCGTTTTTGTGTCAAAACTTTCACACAGCTAAATCTATCAGAAAAAGAATGAAATACAAAACCACCGAGTAACAGAGTAGCAGGAAAACGAGAAATTAAGAAAAGTTCAAAAGGTGTCTCAGAAAAAAGTGAAACCAAATTAACTGTCCTTCTTTGCCAGGATTTCAGAAAATAAAAGAAGACACGTTTCACGAAAATTCTAGGTCGTATCATACGATTTTCCAACAGCCAGGAAAATAATTTAAGAGAAAATAAATTTTTGAATGCTATATAAACTTACTATAAAGTTCGATGAATACAGTTAATTACTGGTAATTTATTATCGTTGATACTTTTCCAGAAGATTAAGATATTAGGGAACAACATTATTCATTCATTAATTCGATGAACATAAAAAATTGGATCTATTCATAGATAAAAAAAGCTTCGTTAGGGAACAGGAATGGAGTAGGTTGTTAGAAAATGCTAGCAAGTTAACGGACGAACCGTTGAAATTCCAGTGACAACGATTTATGTGGGCAAGGGTTAAAAACTCACAAGCCAATTAACATGCCCTCAAGAGATAGGAAAGCAGAAAAGTTCCGTAGGTATGTTTCTGAAGGAACTTTGGAGGAACCATGCTGTATAAGTTTGTTCCGTTTCAATGGCTACTGCCTCAACTTGTAGTTGAATAGTTAAAACAAATTTCTAATCTTTATTATATATGTAATATCTGGATTTTGAATTTATATTCAGAAATATATATCATTGAATTACATTTTTGCATTTTTCTAATATTAGCAGATTTTTCTTTTCAAATGATTATTTTTTATTGTTTAATATAAAATAAGATTGAAATTTTTTTTGTTGATTATTTTAGCATTTATTATTATAATAAATTATTAACGGTTCTTAAGTTTTATAATTCTTTAAAAAAATTGATTAATTTTAAAGATTTTAACAGTTGTTTGATTTAAATTGTTTAATTTGTTTTATAAAAGAAGAATTAATATTAAAATGTGATTTAATAAAAAAAATTGTTGCAATTATAATTTTATATAAAATTTTTAAAATAATTTTTTTTTATATAATTATATAAGTCCTTTCAGAAATCAAACTCATTCCAACTGCATTTTTTACTCTCCAAATTGAAGTATAAAAAATCAAAATTATATATGTAATTAATACATATAATATATTATAACTCTTCAGAAAATAAATAATTTATCTTAATGAAATTTCTCATTACTTATTAATTTTTATAAGATTCATATAAGTATATATATTTAATTTTTTAAATGTATAATATTAAAGAATTGATTTTTTTAATTTTAAATAAATATTAAAAAATTGTACAATAAAGTAGAACAATAGAAATTCATATTATAATATTATAATATTCTCGCAATGACGAGCATCAGAAAAAAGTGAAAGCTAATTATTGAATCCTAAGAAGCAGGGCAACAGAAATATGACAGAGGTACTTTCCAAAAGTATCTGGTCCCACCGGTAAGGGCTTATCCTCTAATTGATTTACCTTTCTTAATACCTTCTAAATTTTTCTGAAAACATGAAACTCTTTACTCTTTACTTTCATATTTTCCTCATGATCAATATAATATTATTAGTAATGTTAATATATAGTATAATAAATTAATTATTTTTAACTTAAGATTTTTCAAATAAAGTTTTTTTTATTAAGATTAATATACTTTCAAAGTAAATAAAAATAAATTTTTTACTTAATTTTTTATCATCAAATATTTAATTTTCATTTTATTAAATAGATATTATATAAAAATATTTTATTATTATTTTATTATATTATTAATATGATTATTAATTACAAAATTTAATTTGTTATTATTGTGCAATTATTGAAAATGTTATTGACAATTAATTGACTAAATTATATATTTACTAAACTATGCCATAAAAGCAACTATTTAAATGTAATTGTTGTTCTATATAAAATTAATTATACTTAATTCTATAGAAATATAATTTCAATATTTCTAACAAATGCTTCAATCATTCATTCTTCAAATAAATAGGTTTTTAACAAATTATTCCAATAATTACAATTTATTAAATGCTTCTCGTCGTTTTTCAACAATCATAATCAATTTCCCACGACAAGAACATTTAGCATACCAATGTCCACGAAAACAGTGAGAACTCATGGGATCGTTCACCCTACCTACGTCATCAGTTTCCCACGGTTCTGGGACTATGAATCGTAAGAGAGAACTTTATAAAAGGGACCCAGAAACTTTAGTTCCATTCAGTTGCTCTTCGGCAATCGTATCGTTAATATACTTCATAGTGTGTACTATTGCTCTTCTTAATATATTTTATCTAAAATTTTGAAATCTAAAGTTTTATCATTTTTATTGTGCTATTTTTCATAGAATAAATAGATTGTGTTTATGATAAATTTGTAATAATAGTCGTGTGAAATTTTTTGTTTTAAAAAATAAAAGATGTGTGGAATTTCAAAAGTGTACATATTACATAAAATCTTAAAAAATATTATATAATAAGAAAATATTTTATTTAAGAAAAATAAAATTTTTTTTCGAATATATTTTAAAGTTGCAAGAAATTTAACTTATAATTTTTTTATATTTAAATTTAATTATATTAACATGATAAATTTTATTCTTAGTTTTACACATTATTCTTAATATTTTTCGTGTTGTTAAAAATACAAGTTTCATGTGTTATTACTACATGCAAGATTTAACTTTTTATTCATTGTATATATACTATCATATATAGATATTTGGCTATTTATATATTTTATTGGAAATATATTTGTGTAATAATATATAGAATATAAGTACTAATAGTACTTACAAAATTGATATAAAAAATTGAAGTAAATGTAGATATTATATAATAAATGCAAGATAGATAAGAAGTAAACAGAAAATATCAATTGAGATAAAAAATAAAATTTGATATAAAAAATAATGTTCTAAGTATAGTATAATTATTTAATTGCAAGATATTAATATAGTTATAATATACTTAAAATTGTGCAATGATTTCCACAATTACTAGATCAAAAAATTGTGAAAAGAAATTGATAGGAAAGCAAAAGTGTATATCAAATAAAAAATTTAATTATAAATAATTTAAAAAATTTATAATTTAAATCCAAAAAGTTACATAAAACATATTGTTATATTATTCATTCAATAATGGACGATTTGAATTATGATTTAAATTTATTAAAAATTAAATTTGTGTAATTAAAAACTTTGGTGCAAAAACTAAACAAGTCCACAATTGTATTTGTTTTATATATTTTTATATATAGTCGATTGATTACTAAGAATTACATAAATCTAATACATTTATAATAATTTTTGGATACAATATAATTTTTGAAAAAAAGAATTAGAATATATCCATAGGATATATTGGATTTAATTTAATTCTATTCAATTTCTCACAATTTTCAAAATCTGGATTTGTTTGATTTTTTCAACAAAATCTTCAATTAAATGATATGCAATCATTATCATTGTTTCGACAAAACAGAAATAAAAGTGATTATGACTTACCAGATGGATGATTGGATTGCAAGTTGTAATCGTCGACCTGTAGCGTGCTGTTCGGCCCTGTTCTTGTGAATCTTACTACGTGATATTGATTGTCATTCACTTTTACACCGACTTCACCGATTGGATGATCGTTTGTGCCCATATTGTAAAAGGCGAACACATTTCCCTCCAACTAAAAATATTTTTATGAAATTTTTATGAAATCAATTGACATTGTTGTATTAATAGTATAATATATTAAATTCAAGAATTGAAGTGATAAATTTTATTAAAAGAATTTGTTAAAAAATATCTAATTGAAATTGGCAAAGTAATATCAATAAAAGTATCGTAAAATTTTATATGTGATAAAATATTTCGTATTTTTGATTTGATTGATTCCATCAAATCAAAAGTTTAATCTGGTTCAAAATTAATTACTTTTATTGTTTATATTTATTTAATTGGTAGCAATTGGAGCAATAGATATACTTTCTAATATAATAAATAGATATAATAATATAATAAATATAATTATTTCTATTTTTTATTTAATATTTTTTATTTAAAAAATTATTATAAAAATGAGCAATGAAAATACATAATGTACATTTTGAATTAAAATTTTGAATAGTT